TATTATACCCCCTGATGAAGGTATAAAAATTCTCCCCACTGGTGTTTATGGTCCCCTACCTCCCAATACCTTTGGCCTCATATTAGGCAGAGGCTCCTCAGCCTTACGGGGACTTCATGTTCTCCCTGGAATAATAGATAATGATTATACTGGTGAAATAAAAATTTTAGCCACAGCCCCTTCTGGGCCGCTCACTGTTCATTTGGGACAAAGAATTGCTCAATTAATCCTGCTCCCTTTGGATTCCTTTCATTCCTACTACTCCTGTCCCAAATCAGAAAGGGGTCCTCAAGGCTTCGGACATTCCGATGCTTTTTGGATTCAACAGATCTCCACCAATAGGCCTATTTTAAAACTAAAAATAGAGGGAAAAAACTTTGAGGGCCTCATTGATACTGGTGCTGATTCCTCTATAATATCCCAAAAATACTGGCCTCCTTCTTGGCCTTTGCAGGCTTCAGTCACCCATCTACAGGGTATTGGTCAATCCACAAACCCCCTACAGAGTTCAAAAATCTTGCACTGGATTGATCCTGAAGGGAATCAGGGAACCTTTCAACCTTATGTTGTGCCTGATTTACCTGTTAATTTATGGGGACGTGATATATTATCCCAAATGCAGCTTTTTATGTGTAGCCCTAATGAGGCTATTACCCACCAAATGTTAAAACAAGGATTTCTCCCTGGACAAGGATTAGGAAAGAACTCACAAGGAATAACTCAATCCCTTCTCATTGAGCCAAAAACTGATCATACTGGAATAGGTTTTAAAAATTTTCCCTAATGGCCATTGACATGCCTGCTCCCCATGCTATAAAATTTCTTGGAAAAATGACTCCCCAGTGTGGGTTGATCAATGGCCTCTCTCTTCAGAAAAACTATCAGCTGCTACCTTGTTAGTGCAGGAACAACTAGCTGCTGGTCATATTGAACCTACCACATCTCCTTGGAATACTCCAATTTTTATCATTAAAAAGAAAACTGGAAAATGGAGATTACTCCAAGATTTGAGAGAAATTAATAAAACCATGATTCCCATGGGGGCTCTTCAACCTGGGTTACCCACCCCCATAGCTATCCCAATAGGATATTCTAAAATAATCATTGACTTCAAAGATTGTTTTTTCAATATTCCCCTCCACCCTGAAGATCGCAAGCGCTTTGCCTTTAGCCTACCTGTCACTAATTTTGAAGGACCTATGCCTAGATATCAATGGAAAGTTCTCCCTCAAGGCATGGCTAATAGCCCTACATTATGTCAAAAGTTTGTTGCTCAGGCAATTGACTCCCTCAGGACAAAATGGCCTTCTATCTATATCATACATTATATGGATGATATCCTCCTAGCTGGTCCTAATAATGATTCCCTCCTTACATGTTCACAAGAGATGTCTCAGGCCCTTACTGCCCTGGGACTACAAATAGCTCCTGATAAAATTCAACTTAAGTCTCCTTACTTCTTTTTGGGATTTGAATTATTTGCCAATAAAATCTTTACCCAAAAAATACATCTTAAGACTGATCATTTAAAGACCCTTAATGATTTCCAAAAATTATTGGGGAATATCAATTGGCTCCATCCCTATTTAAAATTGACCACAGGAGAATTAAAACCCCTTTTTGATATCCTCCAGGGAGATTCCAATCCCAATTCCTTCAGATCATTGGATATCCCTGCCCTTAAAGCCTTACAATTAGTAGAAATAGCTATTCAAAAACAAGCTATTACCTTCATTTCCTATAAAGAGCCTCTCTCCTTTATTGTTTTTCCAACCTCACATACGCCAACAGGATTATTCTGGCAAAAAGCACAACTTCTTTGGATTCATTTGCCCACTTCCCCCCAGAAAGATTCATTTGCCCACTTCCCCCCACTTCCCCCCTATATTTCAAGGGTAGCTAAGCTTCTACAATTGGCTAGGGAACAAAGCATAAAAATATTTGGTAAAGAACCTGATAAAATTATTCTTCCATATTCATCAACCCAAATATCATGGTTAATGCAAAATGATGAAGAATGGACTATATCCCTTGTTGCCTTCCCTGGCGTCCTTGATAATCATTATCCTGCTGATAGGTTACTCCAGTTTTTTAAGGTCCATCCAATAACATTCCCCCAGAGGACTTCCCCTCACCCACTCAATAATGCTAGTCTAATTTTTACTGATGGATCTTCTAATGGAATTGCCACCTTCACTATTGATAATGTTACCTGGAAGTCCCCCTCCCCTTATAAATCTGCACAATTGGTAGAGCTTTATGCTGTTTTACAAGTTTTCAAAAAATGTTCCAGTAATCCATTTAATCTTTATACCGATAGTTCCTATTTGGCCTCCTCTATTCCCTTGTTGGAAACAGTTCCTTATATTAAGCCCACCACCAATGCCACCCCCCTTTTTTCAGAATTACAGAAATTAATTCATCAAAGGAATCATCAATTTTTTATTGGACATATTAGTGCACATTCCGGCCTTCCCGGACCTTTGACAGCGGGAAACAATATAACTGATAAGGCCACCCAGATATTTCTCTCAATCAGCCCAGATCCTGTTAGCCAAGCTCAAAAGGCCCATACACTTCATCATCTTAATGCCCAAACCTTACATCTTCACTTTAACATTACCTGAGAACAAGCTAGACAAATTGTTAAACAATGCCAAAATTGCGTCACCCAATTGCCTTCTCCCCACCTAGGGATCAACCCTAGGGGACTAATACCCAATGAAATCTGGCAGATGGACGTTACTCATGTCCCTTCTTTTGGCAAACTCAAATATCTACATGTCACTATTGATACCTTCAGTGGCTTTATATGTGCCACTCTTCAAACAGGAGAAGCTTCTAAAAATGTTATCTCTCATGTTCTGGTCTGTCTCTCCACCATGGGTAAGCCCAATACAATTAAAACAGATAATGGTCCAGGCTACACTGGAAAAAATTTTCAAGATTTTTGTAAACAATTACAGATATCACATATAATAGGTATTCCCTATAATCCACAGGGCCAAGGTATTGTCAAAAGAGCCCATCAATCCATCAAAAATACCTTACATAAATTAAAAACAACTCCTCTCTATCCCGCTGTTGGTTTTCCAAAAAATACCTTATGTCATGCCTTGTTTATCCTTAATTTCCTCACCTTGGATATCAATGGAAAGTCTGCTGCAGATCGCCTTTGGCACCTTCAAACTGATAAAGAATATGCTAAGGTCATGTGGAAAGATCCTCTTAAGGCTACCTGGAATGGCCCAGACCCTGTCCTTATCTGGGGCCGCGGTCATGCTTGTATCTATGACACATCAAATAATGCTGCCAGATGGCTTCCTGAAAGGCTCATTAAACAAATAGATTCCATTAATGACCTCTCCTCCTGTCCAGATGATGAAATTCCCTGAGACTTCCTTTGTATTCCTTATAGGTCCTCAAAATCAAGACAACCTCAGCCATGAATTTCCATCTTTTGATCTTCATGACCTTCGTTGAAGCTTCCTATGGCAGATTTGGTGATCCCAACCAGGCTCGTCTCATCCTTCAACAGCGCCAAGGAAAACCATGCCAATGTCTTGGAGGCACTTCTATCTTCTTTACAGTCCCCCTCGCAGGGACCTATTGAAGCCAGGACTGTGGGGATAAAATAGCTTATCTTGACTTTGGTGGCTTACATAAAGCTAAAGACCTCAAGGACCCCGCCGGACATAACTCATGGACCAATGTTGGCCATAATAATAGGGCTTATGCTAAATGGCAATGCATCCCTAAACCTAAGCCACTCCCTCAACCAAAGGAAGGGGGACTCCCCCCTTGCCCCTGTAATATATTTAAAGAATCCATACATAGCAGCTATTATACGTCTTATCAGGAATGTGCCTCAGGGAATAAAACATATTATACCGCCACCCTTATTAAGACACAATCAGCAGTCTTGGGAGGTGATTGGTCCATTAATCCCCAAGTCCTTGGACAGACCAATAAACTCATGACTGCCGGATGTTCTGGGACAGTTGGACAACTGGTATGTTGGCAACGTTCACCCTCTGTCTATATTACAGATGGAGGCAGTCCACAAGATCAGGTCAAACAATTATATGTCAAGGACCGCATCAATCAAATTATAGAAGCCCAATACCCTTCCCTTAGATATCATCCCTTAGCCAATATTCACTCTCGTATGGAGGATAAACTAGATGTAGCCACCCTTGATATTTTGGCCCATACCCATCAGCTTTTAAATCTCACTAATCCCTCTTTAGCCCAGGATTGTTGGTTTTGCCTTAAGCAAGGCCCCCCGATTCCCTTAGCGTTTCCTCTGCCTAAGGTTACCTTTGATCTTGAGATAAGTAATTGCTCCATCTCTCCCCCTGTTTTAGTATCCTTAGAACCTCCCATATCTTATAATTTCACCCCAATATGTCTTTATAGCTTGCCTTTAAATGATAGTTATGATATAGATGTGGGATTTATTACCTTTATTAATTATACTGTTTGTCAAGAAATTTTTAATCGTACCACCTTATGTTCTGGAAATTCTTCTGTTTTTGTTTGTGGTAATAATTATGTATATTCTCTTCTACCTCAAAATTGGATGGGTATATGTATAAGTGCTATTATTTTACCAAATATTGATATTATATCAGGGGACACTCCTGTCCCAATATCCACCTTAGATTTCATAGCTGGACGACCTAAAAGAGCAGTCCAACTCATTCCCTTAATGGTTGGTTTAGGAATCTCTGTGGCTGTTGGCACCAGGACCACTGGCTTAGGAGTCTCTTTACATAAATATGCTAAATTATCTCGACAATTGATTGATGATGTTCAAACCTTGTATGAAACTATGCAACACCTGCAAGATCAAATTGATTCCCTTGCAGAGGTTGTCCTTCAAAATAGAAGAAGCTTAGATTTACTCACCACTGAACAAGGAGGAATCTGTCTCTCCCTCCAAGAACAATGTTGTTTTTATGCAAATAAGTCTGGTATTGTCAGGGATAAAATTAAAACCTTACAGGAAGATTTAGAAAAGTGCAGAAAATAATTATATGAAAATCCTTTTTGGACTGGGCTCAATGGATTTTTGCCTTATCTCCTCCCTTTACTAGGGCCTTTATTAGGGCTCTTAATATTATTATCTATAGGGCCTCTATTATTTAATAGACTCATGGCCTTTATCAAACAGCAGATAGATACCATGCAAGCTAAGTCCATCCAAATTCATTATCATCGCCTCAATTTGATTGAACAAGGCTATCCAGAAGAGGATTGTCCACCTGTCTCCTACTAGGAATAATCTCCTTTAAGTCCTGCTAAACCTCCTTTGGAACCTGTCAGTACCCAGAGCTGGCATATCCCAAGATGGATATAGGCACCTACAGAGGCCTGGGACAAAGTACCCAGGGAAGGATAAGACAAACTTGTTTGTCTTTCTGGGTCCTTTGAGGAGCAAGCTTGGTTGCATAGGGGCTGATGCCTAAAGTCCAAAACATGTTTGTGACTGTCCCTCCCCAAAAATTGGCATCAAAAAGAACTCGGGGACCCGGCCTCTACTCCCCCTCTGTGGTTAAAGCCTACTGACAAGATCAGGACACCTGGGATAGTCTTTCTAAACTAAATGGCCTCCATCCCTGGCTTGCATGATATATATCTCTTCTTTATTATTGTAAAAAGGGAGGAGATCTAGGGAACCAAATATATATACTCTCAGAGTTGTTTTTGAGCCTAACATAACTGCCTCCATGTCAACGTCTGAATCACCTCACTGGCATGAACCTGCCGTTACCCATGACAACGGCCCTGGGCAGAGAGGTGGCATGATCTGTCGCCTAGCAACATCTTGTGACAGCTTGTGATATATAGATCCACTCTGAAGCCAACGGTATCCTTATCTCAAGACATCCTGTTGCAGCAATTGTGTGCTCTGGAATTCCCCAAAAAATTGCCCCCTCTCTTTTTTTTGTCTTTATATATGCTGACGGTGCCTAAAATAAACGAGACCTTAATAAACCTCTGCTTGGTCTCCTTCTTTCTGCACCTCTTTTGTCCCATTTCCAGGTATTTCCCCTTCTCGAGCTCTGCTAATTATGAGCCCTGCTGGTCGGGGCACTGAGTATGTGAAGTAGGCTTCCCAGCTAAAGTGACAGAGTTGCAGCCCCTTGCTTTGTGGAGGACTTCACATTCAGGAAACTAACCACTTTGGTTTCAAAGTGCTAAGCAGCGAAAGAATCTGCTTCCCAGGGAAAAGTGCGGTGTAAACCACAGAAGCACTCTGAAAAGTGCATTTCAATTCTATCCTCCAAATGAACGTATCACCAACTTTACAGAGATCTGGAGGCTTCTGGGAACTCACAGCTGCTAAGCACTTCTTTAGGCCTAAGGGCTTTTCTGGTCACAGGCCTCACACAACAGTTCTTCAATCTCTACCAGGAAGAGACCTACAAACAAGAAGGAGTACAGTTGCACTAAGTATGGGAAGTGAACTTCACTGACAATGTGACAGAGTTGCAGTCCCTTGCTCTGTAGAGTACTGCACATTCAGGAAACTAATCTATTTGGTTTCAAAGAGCTAAGCGGCAAAAGTAGGTGCTTCCCAGGGAAAAGTGCAGTGTAAACCACAGAAGTACTCTGAAAAGTGCATTTGATTTCTAACCTCAAACTGAACCTACCACCAAGATTACAGTGTTCTAGAGGCTTGTGGGGACTCAGAGCTGCTAAGCAGTCACTTAGGCCTATGGGCTTTTCTGGCTACAAGCCTCTCACCACAGTACTTCAATCTCTGCCAGGCAGAGACCTACAAACAAGAAGGAGTACAGTTGCACTCAGTAGGGGAAGTGGACTTCACTGGTAACGTGACAGAGTTGCAGCCCCTTGCTTTGTGGAGTACTTCACATTCAGGAAACCAATCGCTTTGGTTTCAAAATGGTAAGCGGCAAAAGAAGCTGCTTCCCAGGGAAAAGTGCAGTTTGACTCACAGAAGCACACTGAAAAGTGAGTTTGAATTCTAACCTGAGGTGAATTTATGTTCAGGTTTACAGATGTCCTGTTGCTTGGGTGGAGTCAGAAGTTCTAAGAACTCTCTTAGGCCTAAGGGCTTTTCTGGTACAAGCCTCTCACAACAGTGCTTCAATCTCTGCCAGGCAGAGACCTACAAACAAGAAGGAGTACAGTTGCACTCAGTATAGGAAGTGGACTTCACTGGTAAAGTGAAAGTTGCAGCCCCTTGCTCTGTGGAGTACTGCACATTCAGGAAACTAACCAGTTTGGTTACAAAGGGCTAAGCGGCGAAAGCTGCTGCTTCCTGGGGAAAAGTGTGGTGTAAACCACAGAAGCACCCTGAAAAGTGTGTTTGAATTCTAACCTCAAACTGAACATATCACCAAGTTGACAGAGTTCTGGAGAGTTGTGGAGACTCATGGCTGCTAAGCACTCACTTAGGCCTAAGAGCATTTCTGGCTACAAGCCTCTCACAACAGTGCTTCAATCTGTGCCAGGCAGAGACCTACAAACAAGAAGGAGTACAGTTGCACTCAGTATGGGAAGTGGACTTCACTGTTAAAGTGACAGAGTTGCAGCCCCTTGCTTTGTGGAGCACTTCACATTCAGGAAACGAACCGCTTTGATTTCAAAGAGCTAAGCAGTGAAAGCAGCTGCTTCCTGGGGAAAAGTGTGATGTAAACCACAGAAGCACTGTGAAAAGTGCTTTTGAATTCTAACTTTGAACTGAACCTATCACCAACTTCACAGAGTTCTGGAGGCTTGTTGAGACTCAGAGCTGCTCAGCACTCACTTAGGCCTAAGGGCTTTTCTGCTGACAAGCCTCCCACAACAGTGCTTCAATCTCTCCAGACAGAGATCTACAAATAAGAAGGAGTACATTTGCACTCAGTATGTGAAGTGGACTTCACTACTAAACTGACAGAGTTTCAGTCCCTTGCTGTGTGCAGTACTGCACATTCAGGAAACTAAGGTATTTGCTTTCAAAGGGCTAAGCGGTGAAAGTAGCTGCTTTCTGGGGAAACGTGAGGTGTAAACTGCAGAAGCACTCTGAAAAGTGGGTTTGATTTCTAATGACAAACTGAATCTATCACCAAGTTTAAAGAATTCCGGAGGTCTGTGGTGACTCAGTGCTGCTAATCACTCACTTAGGCCTAAGGGATTTTCTGGCTACAAGATACTCACAATATTGCTTCAATCACTGCCAGGCAGAGACCTACAAAGAAAAAGGAGTACAGTTGCCCTACGTATGTGAAGTGGACTTCCCTGGTAAAGGGACAGAGTTGTAGCCCCTTCCTTTGTGGAATACTTCACATTCAGGAAACTAACCGCTTTGCTTTCAAAATGCTAAGTGGGGAAAGAAGTTGCTTCCCAGCAAAAAGTGAGGTTTGACCTGCACAAGCACTCTGAAAAGTGCGTTTGAATTCTAATCTCAAACTGAACCTATCACCAAGTTTACAGAGTTGTGGAGACTTGTGGGGACTCACAGCTGCTAAGCACTCACTTAGGTCTAAGGGCTTTTCGGGCTATAAGCCTCTCACAACACTGCTTCAATCTCTGCCAGGCAGAGACCTACAAAGAAGGAGGAGTACAGTTGCACTAAGTATGAGAAGTGGACTTCCCTGCTAAAGTGACAGAGTTGCAGCCCCTTGCTTTGTGGAGTACTTCACATTCAGGAAACCAATCGCTTTGGTTTCAAAATGGTAAGTGGCAAAAGAAGCTGCTTCCCAGGGAAAAGTGCAGTTTGACTCACAGAAGCACACTGAAAAGTGAGTTTGAATTCTAACCTGAGGTGAATTTATGTTCAGGTTTACAGATGTCCTGTTGCTTGGGTGGAGTCAGAAGTTCTAAGAACTCTCTTAGGCCTAAGGGCTTTTCTGGTACAAGCCTCTCCCAACAGTGCTTCAATCTCTGCCAGGCAGAGACCTACAAACAAGGAGTACAGTTGCACTCAGTATAGGAAGTGGACTTCACTGGTAAAGTGAAAGTTGCAGCCCCTCGCTCTGTGGAGTACTACACATTCAGGAAACTAAGCAGTTTGGTTACAAAGGACTAAGCGGAGAAAGAAGCTGCTTCCTGGGGAAAAGTGCGGTGTGAACCGCAGAAGCACTCTGAAAAGTGTGTTTGAATTCTCACCTCAAACTGAACCTATCACCAAATTGACAGAGTTCTGGAGGCTTGTGGGGACTCAGAGCTGCTAAGCAATCACTTAGGCCGAAGCGCAGTTCTGCTAACAAGCCTCTCACAACAGTGCTTCAATCTGTGCCAGGCAGAGACCTACAAACAAGAAGGAATACAGTTGAACTCAGTATGGGAAGTGGACTTCACTGGTAATGTGACAGAATTGCAGCACATTGCTCTGTGGAGTACTGCACATTAAGGAAACTAAGCGCTTTGGTTTCAAAGTGCTAAGCGGTGAAAGTAGCTGCTTCCCGGTGAAAAGAGCTGTGCAAACTGCAGAGGTGCTCTGAAAAGTGCATTTGATTTCTAACCTCAAACTGACCCTATCACAAGTTTACAGAGTTTTGGAGGCTTGTGGGGACCCAGAACTGCTAAGCACTCATTTAGGCCTAAGAGATTTTCTACTTACAAGCCACTCACAACATTGCTTCAGTATCTGCCAGGAAGAGACCTATAAAGAAGAAGGAATACAGTTGCCCTAAGTATGTGAAGTGGACCTCCCTGGGAAAGTGACAGAGTTGCAGCCCCTTGCTTTGTGGAGTGCTTCACATTCAGGAAACCAATCGCTTTGGTTTCAAAATGCTAAGCGGCCAAAGAAGCTGCTTCCCAGGGAAAAGTGCGGTTTAACCTGCAGAAGCACTCTGAAAAGTGCATTTGAATTCTAACCCCAAGTTGAATTTATGTGCAAGTTTACAGTTGTCCTGTTGCTTGGGTGAAGTCAGAAGTGCTAAGTACTCTCTTAGGCCTCAGGGCTTTTCTAGCTACAAGCCACTCACAGCAGTGTTTCAATCTCTGCCAGGCAGAGACCTACAATCAAGATGAGTACAGTCGCACTCGGTATGTGAAGTGGACTTCACTGATAAAGGAACAGAGTTGCAGCCCCTTGCTTTGTGGAGTATTTCACATTCTGGAAAGTAACCTCTTTGGTTTGAAAGGGCTAAGTGGTGATAGTAGCTCCTTCCCAGGGAAAAGTGAGGTGTAAAGTACAGAAGCAGCCTGAAAAGTGCATTTGAATTCTAACCTCAAACAGAACCTATCACTAACTTTACAGAGTTCTGGGGGCTTATGGTGACTCACAGCTGCTAAGCACTCACTTAGGACTAAGGGCTTTTCTGGTACCAGACTTCCCACAACAGTGCTTCAATCTCTGCCAGGCAGAGACCTTCAAACAAGAAAGAGTACATTTGCACTCAGTCTGTGAAGTGGACTTCACTACTAAAGTGACAGAGTTGCAGTCCCTTGCTCTGTGGAGTACTGCACATTTGGGAAACTAAGTGCTTTGGTTTCAAAGGGCTGAGTGGCAAAAGTAGCTGCTTCCCAGGGAAAAGTGTGATGCAAACCTAAGAAGCACTCTAAAAAGTGTGATTCAATTCTAACCTCAAGTTGAATTTATGTTCAAGTATACACATGTCCAGTTGCTTGGGTGGAGTCAGAAGTACTAACAATTCTCTTAGGTCTAAAGGCTATTCTGGCTACAAGCCTCTCATGACGGTGCTTCAATCTCTCCCAGGCAGAGACCTACAAACATGAAGGAGTACAGTTACACTCAGTATGTGAAGTGGACTTCACTCTTAAAGTGAAAGGGTTGCAGCCCCTTGCTTTGTGTAGTACATCACATTCAGGAAACTAACCTCTTTGGTTTGAAAATGCTAAGCGGTGAAAGAAGCTGCTTCCCAGGGAAAAGTGTGGTTTGACCCGCAGAAGCCCTCTGAAAAGTGTGTTTGAACTCTAGCCTCAAGTTGAAATTATGTGCAAGTTTACAGATGTCCTGTTGCTTGGGTGGAATCAGAAGTGTGAAGAACTCTCTTAGGCAAAAG